GAAGAGCTTGGCTCGTTGGAGAAAATGAAAGAAGTCCAGAACAGCTTCACTCGAGAGGGAAGGCAGAAGTGGCAGAGGCATGTTGGACAGGGGCATATGTGGAGGCTTTGCAGCATCCTGAGAGCAGTGGAAGCATCAAGAGGTTTTAAGTTAAGAAGTGTTATTATCTGATGGGCAATTTTAAAAGAACACTCAAACTGCTATGTGAGAATAAACAGTGGAAGGCAAGAAATGAACATCTGGAGACCAGTTCAGAGGTGACTTAGCTGACTATGGTGAAGAGGAGATGATGGGGGTTTAGGTTCCAGTGTATGCTATAGAGCTGAGGCAAGTGGAAGGAGTCAAGATATATTTTGCATGTGGAATTGATAGAAGTTGATCATGGATTGCCTGTGAGTGGTAAGGGAGAACAAAGTGTCAGTGATAACTTTTATGTGTGGAAATAGAGACTATGAAGGAAGAACAGATTAGGCGGAGGGAAACAGGTTTTCACACGCTGAGATTCAGATGCCTGAGGTACATCAAAGAAAAATATCACATAAGCTGTGAAATATATGAGCTTGAAAGAAGGACTTAAGCCAGAGATACACAATTGGGAGTTATAAACAGATGGCAATCAATGCCATGAGAACAGATCAAATAATTTAGATAGGAAGCATAATATAAGAAAAAAAGAAGACTATAATGCAATCAGAAATAATTCTAACATTCAAAGGTCAGAAAGAAGAGGAGCTGGTGAAAAAGAATGAGAAAGAGGGACGAGATATATAAGTGATGTTAGAAGAGCTGCTATTTTCCCTCAGTTGTTATTTGTCTTTTAGTTTTGTATACAGATTCTTCAGGGTCAAGGCTGTTTCTCCACGGTCTGAGGGAGGTCTTTCACTTTTGCGTGGTCATTCATTTTGCGTGAGTCCCACTGCAGAGCTGCTGGGCCCAAAACAATACAGTCATTACTAGCAAATTTCTTTAAATTCATTCACTTATAGCCATTTTCCTTAAGGCAGTCTCAAAGTATCAGGATGGCTGCTGAAGAATGGCTTCTGGAATCAGTTAATGCTCAGAATGCTGGCCTGGAACCCAAGAGTTGGGTTTTTATACTAAGTCCTAGAAATACAGCCAGTTTACTTCCTTTATCACAGTGAATTAATTTCCTCGCAGAGGCCCCTTTTGTATTCTCCTCCAGTGAAACCAGACTGATCTTTAGTCATGACAAAAGCAGGGTGAAGAGGCATTCTCCTTAACACTTTCCATTTATTATCAGATTTCTTGGTCAAGGTTGACATCACTGGTCAAGATGGAGATGTTATAGGATATAGTAAATTAAGTAACTGGAAACCCAGACAATATTCAGTTGAGAGTGACAGAACCTTCTTCGGTGTAACCAAGCCAGGAAGAACTTGCAGAGATGCCACAGTTTGGGACTGTTATCACTATGACCTTGAATGAAAGACCTGAAATGTGGTTACACGGCCTTGAAGTATGGCTATGTGAAGAGAGATTGGAGCAACGGTGTTGACCTATAAAAGAAAAAGAATAGAGACTGGGTGTACAGATGTACCTACTGGGTGACCCCCGAATAATGAATATACAATGCAAGATATTTGTGGGTGAGATTCTTGGGAAGGGAAGAGCATCTGTTCCTGGAAGTGTGGATCAGAACTGCTCAGGGTTATACAATTTGAAAGACCATGAGGCATTCTGATGCATAATTCTGGTGGAACTAACTTATCCTGAGCTTCCAATATGCCCTGTTAAAAATTACTGTAATAAATCCAGTATAAGACAAATAAACTGGGAAAATATATTTGCAACATATACAGCAAGCTGTTTATAATCTTATTACATAAGATCTCTTTTAAATCTATAAAAATACAGACAATAGAAAATGTGCACAGAATGCAAATAGTCAATTCTCAAAAGAAAGAAACTAAAACGCCAATAAACATGATGAACTGTTAAGTAACAATGAAATATCAGTATTTGCCTATCAGATTGGTAATGATTGCAAAGCATAATTAAATTCAGTAAGGAGAACAGAGTGTGGGGAAATGAGCACACTTTCATAGATTTTGGTGGAATTGTGAATTGATACAACATTTTTGGAGGATAATCAGGCATCACGTATCAACATTTTTAAAACTCCCTGACCCAGAAATTCCCCTTGTAGAAATTTATGCTAAGAAATAATTAGACAAGTTCACAAAATTGTGTATAGAGGGCTACTAATAGCCAAATTGATATTATAGCTCACACTGGAAACCACCTAAATGCTCATATATATTGTACTGGTTAAATAAATTATGGCATATCCATATGATGAAATATTAAGCACTTCTGATGTATCATTAAGTCTTTAAAAATAAGATTATGGAACAGCATTATAATAAACAACCCTTTGTGTAAAGAAAAAAGAGCTTATATAAGCAAGTAAAAATCTGGACAAATAATCTCTATTAAGAATGAGAGATGAGATTATGGGGGGGATTTTCACTTCATTGCATTGTCACTTTTTCAACTCTCATGCATTATCAGGAGAATATATGTCCATTTAATAAGATAAAAATAATTGTATACAAGGTAACAAAAAAGTAAACATCTTAAAAATTCTAAAACGAAAGATGCCTTACGGCAAACACTGTAATTCCAAACTAGTTAAGAACGTCTATTATGTCATGGGTACTACATGTTTTTCATCCTTGTGGAGTTGGGGAGGAGTGGTGAGCAGAATAGAACAAAAGACTGGAACTAACAGACAGTAATTAGTATCATTGAAATTTTCTCCATTGTCTATATTATCCATTTATCAAAATTTACTTCTGTGAGACTGAGGGTCTTTCTACAGTTCTGCTTTATCAGACTACTTCCTTCCACTCCTGATTCAAGAGGCTCCCAGGTTCACTGTTCTTTGAAAGCACAGGTTGCTGACACTATTGCAACATGGAAAGAGGGAAACGCTAAGAAGAAAAAAATGGATAGCTTGATTCATGTTGTTAACTCTGTATAAACTGTAAGACATTTAAATATATTTTGCTCTTTTATAGAAAATCTTTTTTTATTATAATCATATCCTCTCTGTTAGTTTTTGTAGATAACTGTACCTTATTTGGATTCAGTCTACACCAATGAATTCTCTGTTCTCAAAATTTTGCAGATACTATGGATACTCGTGTTTGATGTTGTCATGATGCCAGCAAGATCTTGGTTAAATGGCTGTCACCGCAAGTGAGTGGCCATGCAAGTCTCCTTCCCGTTGCACAAACACACCAGGTGGCCTTTGGTGTTGGTTAGTCACTGGTTCTTGTAAACCACTTGTGAACTGAGTGTTGGATTGTTAGTCTCCATGTTGGGTAAGAGGACTTCAGAGCAGGTAAGTTCTAGGGCTCTGGTTCCGGGCGTATGTTTGGACAGCTCAAAAGTGCAAATAAACAGATTATTTTCCAGGTGGAGCATGGAGGAAGTGTAAGCGTCACTCCTGACTTAGATTTGTCATCACTTGTCTAGGGTTTTCTTATATGAGACAGGCGCCCCCTAGTGAATAGAGGGACTTAAATTGGCCTCCACTGCAAGAGAGAGACTGGGGAAACAGCTGAAGCAGTTTCAACAATTTCACATTGTGTTAAACAAGATGTTGAGGTTTTGTGTGTGTGAATGGGGGTGAGGGTAGGGGTCTGTTCCCCATAAAAAGCATCTAGGATTTTACAATATAAAAGTAGTAATCAATTTTCTAGGTGAAGTTCAAACTAATCTGAACTTTGCTAATCATCAAAGTACATGAATAGAACATTGATTTTTATCCACTAGCCAAATGTAGAGACTTCACTAGATTTTTTTTCTGTAGCTACTAGAATCTGTCTGATACACAACTTGGGGTTGAGACTTCAGAGACCATAATTTCAATCCAAAAAACTTTAACCTGGAAAATATATTCGATAAATTACATTTTATTTGGTTAATTTCAAGAATGGAGCATTTCCTGGAGACTTTGGTTCCTTAAGTGATACAATAAATCAGTTATTTTTAATTACCTTCTTCTCTCCCTAAAGCTCCTGCCACTTATAATAGTCTTTATTATGCTCTGACAGAAGTATAAATTATAATTTTGTCATCATTATATTTACTAATTATTATTTATAGCACTGGCTTAAGTCCTCAACAAGGAACCAAAAATAATTCTTATCCTCTAGGATACTTCCAATATAAATTATAGTCAAAGAATATATGACCAGGTCTACTGAAAAATAATTAAATAAATATGATGAAGGATAGCATTCACATCATTTTAACAGTGTCAAAGGGCAGAAATAATCACACAGTTGACTCAGAGGCCTTTAAACGTGGCATCCTAAACCAACAATTGGAGAAAAGGTTAAACAGAAAGTAGCTGATACGTTTAAGTAAAAAGTAGGTGAAAAGGTTATTGGATTGTTCTCAAAGGTCTAGTCTGATGCAAAACTATCAAATTATGAATTCTAGGTAGTATATTTTTGCTACTTTTCAAAGGTTCACTTTTCAGGGGCAGATTTTCTTATTGCCTCCCGCCTTCTTGTCTAAACAATTTTTTAAATTAAAAAATTACTTTTTCCTCTCTCACCTAGATTGCCCCTTGTTTCCTGAGCAATTATCTTTTAAGATTCACCTTAACTCCTTCAGGTCCAAGCGGACTTCTTGAACTGTAAGGCCCCTTTCCGTCCTCTCTCTTCTCTGAACTCCTCAAGGCCTCATTTAACACAATTACCTTGCTTTGGTTATCCATGTATATTAAAAGGCTCTACAGAACACATGCACGCACTCATTCAATCATTTGTTAATGAGCATCCTAAACCCCAAAGTCCGTTCTCCATCACTGTAGCATGGAAGACAAACATCCCTTCACTTTTTCAGAGGGATAACTTGTGCATTTCCCTTGTCACGGTGACAAGCATGTGCTGGTGGGGGTGCAGGATCAGAACACAAGGGAAATCGAAGTGAGTGCCAGGTAAGGACCAAAGCACCTCGCCCACCTCATCCTGCTCCTCAAGATGCCCATTCTTCCTTGTCCTGTTTCCTAAGACGTATCCCGGGCGGACGCGAGGTCACCAGTAAGAAGACGACGTACTCCTCCGCAGAGGCCTGATGCTGGGGACGGAGGCGGGGAAGGAGCCTGGGAGACTCGCGGCGGGAGGCGACAAGGAGAGGGCCAGGTGTCGCTCCAGCGCCACCAGGGCAGGGGGTAGGAGGGAGGGGTGCGGGCGGCACGCGCCTGCGCGGACCTGGCTCCGGCCGCCCCCCACCCCCCACCCCCCACCCCCCACCCCCCGACCGCAGCATCCCTGCGCAAGAGTCCCCGTGCGCGGGCGGGAGGAGGGGCGCGCCGGCCCCTCCGCCCAGCGCGCACCCACGTGACGCGGGCCGAGGAGATTGGAGCTGCGGCGCCGGCAGGCAGGCTGGTGCAGTGCCCGGCGCTCACGGCAGGATCTCCTCCTCCTTCTCCTCCTGGGAGTCTTGACGGTACTTTTGCCACCGCCGCCGCCGCCGCCGCCGCGTCCCCGCTGCCGCGGCGCTCCGAGGAGGAGGAGAAGACGCCGCTGGGCGCCGCCTTTAGAGGGGTCGCCTGCTGCCGCTCACTACCTCGGCCGCTGCCTCCGAGGTCAACCCTCCCGCGGGGTCTCCGCTCTCTCCTCCCGCCGCCGCCAGCGCCCGCTTAGCGCCGCGATGGGGCTCCTGGACGCGGAGCCAGGCAGTGTCCTGAACGTGGTGTCCACGGCGCTCAACGACACCGTGGAGTTGTACCGCTGGACCTGTTCTTTCGCAGGTAAAGCCGCTGGCTTCCCCATCTTCGCCCGGCCCTGCGGGAGACACCAATCCCCGGCCTCGGAGCGCCCCGGCCCTTCAGCCCCCCACTCCCTGCGGCTGTTGGGGTGCTGCGGATCAGAGGAGGTGCCGGGGCCGCCGTGGGGCACTGGTTAATCTGATCCGAACGTTAAGGCCTCCTTCTCCCCCCGACGCTCGCAGGGTTTTCCTCTGAGCTTCCACCATCTCTCATCAGCTTCTCAGATGCAGGAGCTGATATATCAGATGGAGCCTGTGCAGCTAAGAGCTCGTCGCAGGAACCGCCCCACCCTGTACTCCTACATCTGCCCATCTCGTCTGACAGTTCTAACTTACGCGCAGGACTGGCTTTAACATTTAATAATATTCCGTGTGGAGAGATGCCTGGAGGAGGGGGAGGCCCCACTGGTACCTGTCTTTTTGCTTCTTCGCCCCCCTGGTTGCTTTGACACCACCTACTAATGTCTTTTAGTCTAGCTCATCCATCTACAGTATAATTTAGAATGAAAAGTAAAAATCCATTGTTTGGGTGCTTGCACCTTGGAGAATGCGGGTTTCTGAGGCACCTTTTCAACGGCACATACGTTTGAAGTGGTTGTCTGTGAACGGTTTGCGCAGTGCAGTGCAGTCAGCGGAAGGGGGAGGCTGAAACGCCGGGAAAGAAGTCAGTCTTTAGGCAGGAGCCTCTGCAGCAGCACCTGGAGCTTACCCCGACGCCTGCAGATGTGCAGTTTTCTTAAAGCAGCAAACTTTTCCCTTTAGCTGTTGCAGTTTACTTGACAGGACTGTCAGTTGGTTGATTTATGCAGCTCTTCTGGGGAAAGCAATTGTGATATGCCATTTTTATGTTTTACCTTTTGTTTTCTTCGTTTGCTTCAGTTGCTTTTAAAGAATTTAAAAGTTTTTGAAATAAGAAATTAGGGTAACAGGATTTTAGAAATGATCCGATGATTTAAAAGTTTCTAGTCCTTTTGCACTGTTGCACTGCATCCCAGCAGTGGAGGAAATGAACGTTCCTCCTGATGACTCTGCCTTCCATCCCTGGAACTGAAAACGTGTCCCTGTTGTTTTTGTGTTTGTGTTAGAGTAAGTGGGGTAGTGGTTACAGCATGAGTGCAGTACAACACATGGGATGTATGTTGTGGAGACAGTGTGTTGCTGGACTTAGTTCTGTGTGAGACAAAATGGTTCTTTGACATTGACGTGGCTTTAACTGCTTGAGAAAAGTGTTTTTTTTTCTAGATCTCCTTTGACATCAAGAAATAAGCTGTTTAATTAGCCATTGCAATTGAAAATGGTTAAAAGGCAGTTTTTAATGGATTGTTTTCCTTTTTAAGTCTTTTTTCTGTGTGCCGTTACACTGAGGATATGCTGTACCTACAAAAGCTGGGAAGGGTGTACCCTTCCCCTCCTCTGTGATTTAGGTTATTTGAACATTGCGTCGGGGCTTCCCACTGCACAGTTGTTCAGAGCCGAACCTCAGACCAGCTCTTTGGCAGGTAATTGCGCCTTGCATACTTTGGAGTTCAGACATTGTTGAGGTCCTCCAGTCTTCCCAGAGAGCCACACGCGGGAGTTCTCATCCCTGTCTGTCATTCCCTTCCTATCGCAGAGCTGTCCCATCTCCTGAGTGTCAGAAAGAACAACTGAGAGCAAAGGTAGACTACACCTTCTGCGATGGTTCCTAACAATGTTTGCGTAAAAGATATCCAATGGGAAATTTTGCGCGGTTGCCTCATGTGAAAGCTTGCTACGCCTGTGAGGGCATGTAGAATAATATAACACTGCGGGCCAAGCCTGAGAGGTGAGAGTAGCCGTGGCACACCAGCAACCTCTCACTCGGCAGGGGCAGGCGGAGGGAAGGTGTGCGCCCATGCTCTGGGGATCCACTTATGAAACCTGAGACTGCGCCCTTGCTCTCTGCAACGCGCTACCTATGTGTGTAGAAGGTGTTTCTTAACCGACAGAGAGGCTTAGTGGGATGCAGTCTGCTCTGCCTTGCTGCTGTGTGAGGAGGAATCTTTTTCAGATTTAGGCAGAATAGACCTGAAGCCTGTGGTGTCCCATTTCCTCTCACCGCCTCCCGCCTCCTTTCCATGCTCTCCACGTTCCTTTTCTTTGACTGATTCACACTGCTCCAACTCCAAGAGGATCCATCTCCTCTCACTATAGTTTCATGAAAATCTGGGTGAAGGAGTTTTAGAGTAGAAAAGTAGCTGATTAGATGAGGCTGAAGGAAAAGTTGGTGAGTCAGATGTTTGGAAAGATGGAGAAATAAAAATGGGTGGAGAGAAAGATGGTCTTGAGAACCAGTGGGGTGAGTATGGTGAAAGGATGCAGATTACTCAGGGAGAGCAAGGATAGAGCAAGGCGCCCTGCTGGGAGGGCCCACATTCCCAGAACTGGTGACACGCCTCCACCTTCCTGTTTCATCTTATTAAATATTCTCTCCACCAGGGTTTCTACCTCAGTGTGAATAACCTGTATCTACTTTGTTCTGTCATGAGAGGAACAGTTACAGATCGGTAGAGTGTATTTGACCATACAAGAGATTTTTGCCTTAGAGCAAACAGTTTCTGGAGAAAGATCATTTTGAGCTATTATATCAAACGGTACTATTTAATGAAATACATCCAAAGCAATGTTTAAAAAATGGGCTTTTCATGGGTACATATCTAGCAATTACAGAATATGAGCCATAGTGTATTAACACAGAAAATGTTTCTTTTACTCTATTATTAACACTTTATATATTGGAATTTGAATTTTGAAAGAGGTGTACTTTTAGAAAAGCATCAAAAATAATTTTCTACTTGCCTATATTATATTTTTAGATGCTTTGAACAAGTAAGTTAATCTTGGTTTATATTATATAGAGAGAGACTCATGTGGGGCTATACCAGTTAGTGGTATGGGAGTAGGTACCCCGAAGTTATGATGTTTGTTTTTTTCTTCTATTCTTTCACTTTGTGAGTACATTAAAATTAGTAGCACTGGCATTCTAGGCTCAAAGTGTATAGCTAATCAAGAAAAGTTGTCTGTAAGTTTTTAAGTTGACGAATCTTAATATTCCCCAATCTGTAAATACCCAAATTATCTATATTATCCATTGCACTCACTTATTATGTTAATAAGTGCTTATCAGTAGCCTTTTGTGTAACTGACATTTAGCATAGAAACATCCTGGAGAGCCAGCATGCCCACAGTAAGGCCAGATGTCTCCTGAGCCACCATAGTTCTTTTTGATCACATATTTTTTAACAGCCATTGTTGGTGGAGTATGTGTACACGTGCACACATGTGTGTGTGTCTCGGGGTGGTTGGCATTGCTCTCTGTTCACAGATATAGTACCCCACATTTTGGTGACAAATTTGTGTCTCCTTGGGAGTTGAAGTTAGAACATAAAAGGCCAGCCTAGATGGCTCCTTAAATTCGGTTTCGAGGGACCAGAAGGGAGAACGAGATGAATGGTGCAGGAGGAGGAAAGACTCCTATAGGAGATGATAAAATTTGAAAGCTAGGCTTATAAAATCATTCATTCTTTCCACATGACTCGCCATGTACAGTCTCAGACATGGGCTATGGGGAGAGACTGAGGACACTTGGTCATTGTCCCTATGCAGCTTACAAAGTCTAGGGCATCACGGCCCTGGTCCGAAGGTGGTGTGATCTGTCAGTCAGGCCTCGCTGGGGCCCAGGGAAGGTCAGAAAAGTCCATCTCTACTCTTCTCATCTCTACTTCTACTTTTACTGCAGTCTTGAGTTGTAACAAGAATATATGAGCTCTGTTTTTAGAATATTTCAGCTGTTTCACCATGTGAAGTTGATGTGGGTGCTGTCAGAGAGTACTTAAATAGGTAGATTAAGGAAAAGGGCATCAAAAACTAAAAATCCCTGGAAATGGGAATGTGTCTAACTGCCGCTGAGTCATCTGGTTTGCCAAAATTGTGAGCTTGTGGGAGGGGATGTTTAACTCAGCTGGAGCAAGCCCGGGTAAGAGCAGGTCTGTCCCAGAGATTGCTAGGCCCCAAAAAGCATGTGGCTTAAGTTGTATAGTTACATTAGTTTAATTATTTGTCATAGTTGATGTTTGGTTTTTCATCCATGTTATTGTCTAAAATAGGGGCTTTTTTATTTGGCCTAACCTGGGACGAAGTCACCATTTTTGATGTTTCTTTGAGAGAAGACATTCTGAGTTCTAGGCGACTAACCCAAGTCAAGGGGAATATTACCGGCTGTTAATGTGGAATCTCCCTTGGTCAGGGCTTTCGATGATGTTCTGCAGTTATCCTTTTCTCATAACCTCCCTGAGGCCTCTGGGAAGTCCATGCCACGTTAGGGTTTTGTTTGGTTGGTTCTTGTTGTTTTTCCCTCATCACAGTCTGGGTTCTGGTGGCAGACTCCTGGACTTGAGTGGCTGGTGCTCTTGTCCATTCCCCAGCCACACAGAACAGAACATCCTGTCACAGA